GAGGAGAGTACCTTCCCTCCCTTCGATCTCCAGATCCCCGCCGCAGACGAGTTGCACGGCCTCTCTTCCCCTGCCGCCATGCGTCTCCCTGCTATGTCGCGCGACTTCCCCCTACCGGAGCCTCGGCGCGGCCCCGCCGGCAGGTGGTCCACCCACAGCGCCTATCTGGCTCAGGCTCTTCGCCTCTTGCAAGATTTGCAGCGCCGCGACGCGTCGGCGTGTCAAGACGTCCAGGCCGTGATCGTCGAACTGAAATCCATTTTGCTCGATGACTCTCGGTTTGTGGCCGGGAACTGGCATCACTTTGCTGAGTTGTGGTCCCAGTACCTTCGCAGCATTCCCCGTTGGCCTCAACGGCCTAAGGTTATGTCCTGGCTGCGCCATGGTTATGCGATCGACTGGGTCGACCCCGAGTCGCCCTGCCAGCATTTGCATCCGCATTTTAAGGCTAAGCGCAAGGAGGTACGGGCCATGCTCGCCAAAGTGCTTCCCCAGGACCAGCTCCTGGGTCACCTGACGGGGCTCCGCCCCGGCTTCGTGGTGTTCCCCAACCGGCAGTCTGCCATGGCCCACGAAGAATTCACGGACGGCGCCATTCGCGGTCTCGTAGAAACCGGCATGGCGGTGCTGTTCGACCCAGCCCTCCATGCTCCGGTACAAGTGGTCAACCCACTGGCGGTGGTCACCCAGCGCACGAAGATGCGACTGGTGATTGACCTTCGCTATGTCAACTCCTTCGTACGGTACGAACCAGTCCGCTACGAGAGGCTGTCCAACGTCCTTTCATTCGCTCATCGCGGGTGTTACGCCATAGTCACGGATTTGAAGTCATGGTATCACCACCTGCGCATGCGCCGGTGCGACTGGCCGTTCCTCGCGGTGCACTGGAAAGGTAGGACCCTGCTCCTAACCCACCTGCCGTTCGGTTTGGCGTCCGCGTGCGCGGCCTTTACCCTTATTCAAACCGCTTTCTATAGGCCTCTTCGGCATTTTGGATCGTTGATGGCTTTCCTCATTGACGATCGTTACGGGGCTGCGGCCACCCCCCAACTCTGCATGTTGGACGGTTTGGTGCTGGCCCTCATCGGGACTGCCCTCGGGACGTTCTTCTCCTCCAAGAAAGCCGACTGGATGCCGACGCAGACCCAGCGCTTCCTTGGATTGGAGGTCGATTGCAGCGTGGGCGCCTTTCGTGTTCCTGCGGATAAGCGCAGCTATTTCCTCGCTACCGTGCGCGACCTTTTGGCGGGAGATAACATCACTCCTCGTCAGCTCGCCCATGTCGCGGGACTCATCGTCTCAATGAGCATGGCCGTCAACTTGTGCCCAGTCTTTACCAGGCGTCTATTTGCCGCCCTCGTCGGGACTCACTCATGGGATGAGATTTTCCCCACACCTCAGTCGGTGCGCACAGAGCTCGAGTGGTGGAGGGATAATTTTCACAGGGTAGAGGGCCGGCGCTGGCCTAGTGTTCGCGAAACGACCGTCGCGGTTGGCGATGCGTCCGATACGCACGCTGGCACTTTCTTCCCTGATGGGGCTCTTCCCTACCCCCTGCAGGTGCCCCTTCCTTCGCACCTCATCGGTGCTAGCTCCACAGCAAGGGAATTGTTTGCCGTTCATTCGGTTCTCCGCACCTTGCTCGCATGTGCCCCTGGCTCGGTGAAGGCGCATTGCCTCCTGTACCATACCGACAGCCAGGCCAGCAAATATTGCATCGACCGCCAAAAGGGGGTCAACGAATGCCTCCCTTTGGTCCGGGCGGTTCATTTGTTGGCCTGGGAGAACGATGTGGAGCTTGAGCTGGTCTGGTCGAACAGGGAGGACCCCTGGCAAGTTCAGGCTGACTTCTTCAGTAAGCCTAATGATCCTCATGACTGGGGGTTCAAACCGGAGGCCGTCGCATGGATCTGCCACCAGCTGGCCATCGATCCTACCCTGCTTACCCTCGATGTGTTTGCGTCCGCCTCCACGGCGATTTGTGCTAGGTATTTCTCTCGTTATTTCGACGGCCAGTCTGCAGGGGTGGACGCTTTTTCGCATGACTGGTACCAGGAGCGCGGCTACGCGTGGGTCAATTCCCCGCCCCGTCTCGCCGGTCAGGCGCTCCAGCGCCTAACCCGCCACTCGTCCGCTGCCATTGTGGTGCTGCCCGCTGCTTGTCGCGCATGGGAGCCGCTACTCTCGTCCCTACCCGGCCTCCGCGGCCCTTTAGTGTTGCCTCGTGCCCTCACCTGGCAGGGGGCGGTGATCCGCCCTTGGTTCTTTTGGGGTTCGGGAGCAGCGGGTTCGGCGAAACCCTCAGGATGGTACCCGTGGGTGCGGGTGTTTGTAACACAACCTGTTGACTAACCGCCTCCGGTTACATTCTCCGGGTGATTGTATCGGTCTCATGGTTCGTTCCTGGTCACCAGCCGGGCCTCAAGCTCCGGGGGCGGCCCACCCCACACTCGCCATGGGGTCCGCCCCCTCTCCCCCGCCCGCTCCTGCTCTGTGGTTCTCGCTTTCACCCTTCGTTCGGCCTGCACCTGGCGATGCCAATGCCGCCCCCGATCCACATACCGCTCCACAGTGCCTGTCGATCGTAACAGCGTTTGGCTAGCCACCTCGGCTATCGACATCCCCAGCTCGTGGTGTCTGTGCTGTAAGCTTCCACGCTTGCCACTATAATAGGTCAACGTGTCTGGTGCATCACCTCGTGGTGCCCACCGACGCATAATGCGGGTGGCTTCCATAGCATCCACGGACTGGTTCTGCGGTCCATGGTGGCGCTTCCAGACTGGTAGCAGCACCCGAATGTCCTCGCGCTCGTGTTGGTGGAGCCAGTCCCCCATGCGTTTGAACTAGTACAGGAACCCCAGCTCCGGGCGCGGGTCTATCTTCACCCGTCCTGGACGGAATTCCGTCGTGGTCTTCAGGGCCCATACATCCAGTATGATTGCCCCCTCCACAGTCCGCCAACCCGTCGCGGGCGTCCAGACCGGGCGGCCCCATTCATCCACTATCATGTCCCGCATGTATGGTCCCAGCTGGGGCCTGACTCGCTGCCCGGTCTCCCATAGAAAGGTCAACAACAATGCGTCTCGCGTTACCTGTCCTCTTCGCATAGGATCTGCCTCGCTTTCTATTTCCTGCTGGCAGGCTTCCAGCATCTTTCGATACCATTCCACCCTTAGTGGCTCAGCGCTACTTTCTCCTACCCCCTGCACCTGTTGGGAGGCACGGTAGGTCTTTTTCCAGGTCCGGACACAGTCCGACCTACACGGATTCCCGCTCCGGTCCCTGCTCTGCCAGTCGCCTTCTCGCCCATTCCGGCGGAACCAGCTACTCAAGTGACTGACTTCCTTCTCCATCGTGTTGAAGTGCCACACTCTCTCCCCACTCTCCGTATGCGTGCGGGCCCGCCCCTGTCGCCTCCGCGATACCCACTCCAGGAAGGTTATCACATCTTCTGGTTGCGGCGGGCCCTATTGCCACTCCGCGGGCCGCCGGGCCCACCAATTCACAAACTCCTGCTCAATTCGCTGTTTTCGTTGCGGCAGCCTCTTCTCGGCAATCCGCTCCAATCGCGCTCTATGCGCCTCGCGCGCTGCTCGGTACTGCTTGTTCATATCGTCTACTGTCCACTTCTCCCCTCGGACAGCCGCCACTGGCCCCCCTAGAACCTCGTCCCGCGTCTCCTGCACCTCCTATTCCCGCGACACACTCCATCAGTCCGCATGCGGCACTTGCCTTTGCAGCCCACGATTGGGCCGAACGGTTGGGTATGCCTGGAAACGGCCCTCTCGCCTCCTTCGGGAGGAAAATGGCATCTCAGGGTATGCGTGGCTAGGCGCTCGAGTATGGCGCCAAAGCAGGAATCGCAACCGTTAAGGATGCCGGAGGGCCGTTGACGATTGAAATAACAGGCATATGCCCCTCTCCGTTCCGGGTGGGGGCGGACCATGAGGCCCGCCCCCGGATCGGGGCATCTGGCAAGTCGTTAGGGCGTGAGTGGACCGGAAAAGGGGAAAGTGCGATGGCGTAACGGGACGGAAGGTAATGGCGTAATACAATTTAAGGTCAAATGGTCATTTGTTAAGATACACTCACACTGAGCGACATTCTTAACATGATTAATGGAAATTAAGGGGCGCGGACGCGCCTGACCCGCGATTGATGGAATAAAGTGCACAGCACAGCGATCGCGGCTGTCGCTCCTCGCGTCAGTTGCTGCGGACCATAACCTAGCGTGGCTGCTGCCGCCAGCCCGCCGCGGAAGCAAGCCCAAGGGATGGTAAGCAAGGCGGCGGGGAAGGCAGGCCGCGATAGCGGGAAGCGGAGAGATTTTGCACGACCCACCCACCCACAGCCCGTGGGGTATGCCTGGAAACGGCCCTCTCGCCTCCTTTGGGAGGAAAATGGCATCTCAGGGTATGCGTGGCTAGGCGCTCGAGTATGGCGCCAAAGCAGGAATCGCAACCGTTAAGGATGCCGGAGGGCCGTTGACGATTGAAATAACAGGCATATGCCCCTCTCCGTTCCGGGTGGGGGCGGACCATGAGGCCCGCCCCCGGATCGGGGCATCTGGCAAGTCGTTAGGGCGTGAGTGGACCGGAAAAGGGGAAAGTGCGATGGCGTAACGGGACGGAAGGTAATGGCGTAATACAATTTAAGGTCAAATGGTCATTTGTTAAGATACACTCATACTCACTCAGTTCTAGTTACAGCACCAATCCACCAGAAGATGTTCCCCAGCCGGACACCCCGTCGCCCTCCCCAACCCCCGCGCCTCCGCCACCCGCCCCTCCCGATCTCCGACCTCCTCCCGCGCACCATCCCCACTGCAAACCGGGCTAAAGGGCAGCTCCCTGCCATCCCCCAATATGTCTTCGTTCTATTTCGACGACAAGAAGAATGTGGATGAATACGTGGCCATGTGCGAGGGCTACGACGGCGCGGAGCATGTGGAGGTGCTGGCCAGGCACGTGCCCGCGGGCGCGTCCGTCCTCGAGCTGGGCATGGGCCCCGGCAAGGACTTGGACCTGCTGCTGGGCCGGGGGTACAGGGCCACGGGATCGGATCGATCGGAGACGTTCCTGGAGATGTACCGGGCGGCGAGGGGAGAGGGCGCGGACGTGGAGCTCCTGGACGCGGTGACGATCGAGACGGATCGGCGGTTCGACGCGGTGTACACGAACAAGGTGGGGGGTGGGATGCGGAGGGCTGGGAGGGGATGTGGGGGGCGATCGGCGCGGGGATCTGTGCATGAATCTGAATAATTCTTCCAGTGCAACTGGAACTGCATTCGAATGTGTCTGCGTGGTGTAGACCGCTGCTTTCGCGTGGATTTTATTGTTTGTATTTGACATTTGCACGCCTGTCGCAAACGTGTGCTCCCCGGCGTTCACATTCCAGCGCTCCCACCGTTTGCATTGTAAACGTGTTTGAAGTTGTTTGAATTGATTCGAGATGCTCTCTGGGATACACTTGGAATGAGGCAAAATCTTGGTCGCAGTGCACATGTCTGCTTTGGTGTCTTGCCAATAGAACGCAGGGGCGTGTCCTGTCCATTGCTTGTGCCAGATTGGGCTCACGATTGGAATACAGCATGGAGCTTGGATGGAATGGATGGAACCAAATTGGCGTTGGTTAGATGGTGTAGATCTGGGAGGCGATGGAAGCCCTCAACCAGAATAGATTGCCAGAATAGATAATTGAGGGCAGTTGGAAGCATCAGCAAGACAGCACCAAGAAGAACTGACTTTGAGATAAAATCGAGTTGGCAATCTCTGCGCTAAGTGTGTACCAACACAGAAATAGAACCAAGTGTCATTTTGGATTCCTCAATCTGCCAAGCAGATCCCTGCACTGTGCAAACTTGTCTGGCCAGCTAAAGTGTATCATCCCAAAGAGATTCCCCACAACCCTTGAGTAGCAGCTCCAAGGATAAGGCGCCAACACAGAACTCCTAGCAGCAACGGCGTAGGATACAGGCTTCATGAACACCATGCAGTTAAGGAAAAAATAACAATAATGGCACAGAATATCTGCTCATGTTTGCATTGAGCTTGCTGGGTACAGTGCGTGCGTGTTAGGAAATTCATGCAAGCATTGCTTCGGCACATGTTGGGCACTGCATTGTGGAATAGCAGGTGCATCAGTGACTTTGTCTGTTGCATTCAGCAAGCACTGTTCAATGCTCGTTCTGTACAAACTGTGCTTAGCTGAGCTCCAAAAGTTTCAGGCAAGATTGCCCAGATCCCCAAATTACAAGTCCATATGAGGTATTGTCCACCTCCTGCCAATCTATAATCGATTATCTGATGTTCAGTGCAACGATCGTGTCCCTAAGACATGAAGAGCCCAGGGCTTGTGGATTGGCCGTGTATTGGCCATTTCAACCATCGTCCAATGAAACAGACCGCAGGCCCAACACAGCCACCACTTCGTTCACCATTTTTATGCCGATTTGGGACTTTGCAATACTTGCATGCAGGAATCCCTTGAAAGAAAACCTACCATCAGTGCAACATGTGCATGGAGAGTGCATTTGAAGTGCTCTTGGTGGTGCCCTTGAAGCACAAAGATTTAGTAGCACAGAGGTACAACTCAGCAGCTTCTGGGCAACTAGGCGGACACAAGCATCCTTTTGGGCATCACATTGTATTTGCATTCATTGCCTGATATCGCCAGCTTGCTGGAAGGACTTGCCTTGTCATGTTGTGGCTAGTATGGAGTAAATGGAATTTGGACACATCAGCGGTACATCAGAGATATTAAGGCACAGCAGTGCACATTTGCAGTAGACCTGGAGTACCGAAGTTCAGATATATGGGATTGTGGGTAGCACTTGGCAGCACACCAGATTTACCCAGCTCATCAATGCACTTGAGCCGTACATTTGGTGTTCACGAATGCAGAAGTGCATGAATGGTTTTCATCGCCAGCAGAGCTCTACTGATGCAGACAGCATTGGCCAGCCGGCTGTATCATGCGGGTTGTCCTGGACTGTGGCGTTGGCTTATTCATTGGTGTGCCGGCTGGCTTTCCCATTGAGATGCACTTGCAACTGTTGAACGTGGCCTGGTGATGTGTGCGGTTAATCAATGCTGCCACGTTGGCTAGCACTGGCGACTGCTTGGAAATCTCTTCACTTTAGCCAACTTGCTCAAAATCGAAGCAGAGGCTCATGTCTGGGCATGCCAGGGTCTGTTGACTCAGCCTTGTGCTTGAGTTTTTCGACAGAACCGGCACAACTATTAGCTTCGTTGAACATGTGGTCCATGCATGGTCAATACATGACCTGTATTCTTGTGGCCAGGTTCTGCACCACCTAACAGAGGAGCAACTGGACGCATCCCTGGCGCGGCAGTGGGAGGTGACGAATCCGGGGGGCTTTGGGGTGCACACCTTTTGGCACAGTGAGAAGGAGCCTGAGGTCATGTTTGGCAGCCTGCTGTTCACTTACTACACAAAGGAAACCATCGTGAAGAAAATCACCGAGACAGGCAAGTGGGCTGTAGTGGAGGCCACAGTGTACAAGGAGATGGAGGATGATGACTCGGTATGCGTGGTGCTGCGCCGTGTGGACTAGGAAGGAGTTCTGTCCAAGCACAAGGCTGGGAAATTGGATCACTGAGCTCTGGTGTTTGGGCAATTGTGCTTGCTGGCCCAGCCTGCCTCTATGATTGCCTCAGGGAAAGGTGGAAGGGGTGGTGACTGGAATGGATGGAAATTGTAGGGCAGCTGGCTGGAACCATTGGATTGCTGGATGCTCTGCTGGCATGTGTGAACAACAGCAAATTGTTGTTCAGATTCCTTTGGCAGCAAAGCATGGGTAAAGGGCAGGAGATTGCCGGGTGAAGAATGGCGACCGGTGGAGTTTTCCAGGGAGTGCGTAATGTTGGCAGCTGGGGAAGTGATTATGCAGATGGGGACTGCTGACACTGTGGCCATTTTGCACTGAGCCATGGGCCATGGGTTCTGCCACGGGTTACTTGTTGCGAGATGTTTGTTGTGGGCATATTGGCCAAGAGTTGCATTGCATATACTTGGCATGGTCACAGGAGTTTTGCCAAACTTTTACAGAGTTTCTCAAAAGCATTCAGTTGCAGCGCCATCGAGGTGACTGATATTGGGGTGGATACCTGCGGAGGGCTCCCTCTGCGTTTTTGCATCAGTTGTCCCAGAACGGCTGGGAATTTGGACAGGATAATGTTGCATGTTGGATTGTCGAAAAGGCACAACGAAAGGACATTGACAGCAGGTTGTGAGTTGATCGAAATTTCAAGAAAAATGAGCAAAATGTATTTGGAACGACATCGTGTAGTTGTGTAGTTGAAGTTGTTCTCTGTGCGCTCGCCAATTGTGATTCCATTCATTATAAGTATCCGTGATGCACATGCTGACGGTGTGTTGCGAAGGGTGTGTGCATGATGTTGTTTCCTCATCGACCTTTGAGGTTGTCGTTGTCATCATGGTACGCTGCTCCGCTGGCGGCTACGTTGACTCAACTCACCACCGTTGTACACGTCGAGGCTCCATCATCACATATCTGGACGCCGCAGTTCTACCACAAATCCACCGACTTTCTCCCTCCAGTACCAAGGCCGCTTGCCAGGTGCACAAGGCCCACACAGCTTGTGACAAGAAAGGGGAGGCGCCTAGACACTTAAATGTTATGCAAGTTTTGGAATCAAAAGGATACCAAGGCCACGAAAGACACTGACTGGGGCCCGTAGGCACGACTCCACGGCAACGGTTTACAGCAGAGCAAAGGGACAACAGGAGTTCTGTCCCTGAGATCCAGTCCGTTCATCAATGTCCTTAATCCAATTCCCAATGCCTCATCATCTCTTTGTGCGTCCAGCTGTTGATAATACTCGATCGCTTCCAGTTACAGCAATACCATGGGTCGATGGGGCTCTTCGGGGAGAATATTAGTCACTCTGTCTTTTCCAAGAAGATCCTTCTTCTTCTGCTGACAAGGCCAACGCCGGTCAGTGGGTCAGTGGTTTAGGATTTACAAAACCTAATTAGAGCATCTTTATCGGTCGGCGCTATTGTTCCGGCGGAGCTATTCGGCTATCCGAATAGCTCCGCACGTCAAAAAACCATCATTAACGGTTGGGGAGCAATAACTCCCCAATAGCTACCCCGGAGCTATTCGGCGCCCAGCGGAGCTATTCGGGGCCAGAATAGCTCCGCTCGAGACCGAATAACTCCCCAGAATAGCACCGGTGCTATTCGCGCAGCACTTGGCGGCGGCTGCTTGGAACAACGCGGAGGGGCCTTAGTACAGCGGAGGGGCCTTGGGACAGCCGAACCATGCAAATAGCACCCCCCGTTACGGATGCCCACGGGGTGCTATTGCTCCCCAAGGCATCCACCGTTACGGATGCACGCCCGGTGCTATTGCTCCCCAATAGCACCGGCGCTATTTGGCACATGCCACCTTAGTAAGGTGGCACGGCAGCCAATGAGAACCGTTCCTGAATAGCTCCGCCGGAACAATAGCACCCACCGATAAAGATGCTCTTAGGGCGTCCGAAACAGAAGGGACCTTCACGGAAAAGGCAGTGTGACTAATTGGGTGCCCTTTCGGGACAGGCGCCGGCCGGAAATCTCACCCAAGCCGCCGCCGGGCGCCACACAATTTGTCATGGAGCCCCCCCGCCACATTCGCCCCCGCCTCGCCGCTGACTCGCCACAAGCGCCTCGATCAGCGCCAGTACTTTACCAACAACGCCCACCACCACTCAGCCTCCGTATGCGCGGCTCCCATTGGCCGCCGGTTCTGGTCCATACGACCTGGAGTCTACTTATTGCGCCACCGCTTCCTCTCCAACCGCACTCCTCGCCTGCACCCCGCACACCATAGCCCCGGGAGAACTTCTCGCCTGAGGACCAACCAGCCCGCCATGGCCTCCTCCGCCACCGCCAAGGCCTTCCTGGGATCGGCCATCAAGGCGCCCACCGCCGGCCAGGTGCGCCGATCGACCCCCCGTTCCGATCCGACGCTTCCCTCCCGCGAAAGGGCGCTGTTCCCGAGAGTCGGGACCAGGATGCGATCCTTGCGCGCGGCGAAGGCAACGGCCACCGTACGTCGAGTCGCCGCGCCTTGCGGCGCCGATCGCTGCGTGCTCGGCCGTCGCGCATGCGCCCACGTGGTCACTCTCACATCTGATCTCCCGGCTTGGTGATCGCAGGGCGGCAGGCAGGTCACCCGGGCGGCCATCGAGTTCTACGGCCCCAACCGCGCTAAGTGGCTCGGTGAGTTCCCCCTGCCACCCCATCTCCGCGCGAGCCTCCATGAACCCCCCCCTTCCACCCCCCGCCCGGCCGCGTGTCAGCACTATGAAGACAGTCTGGCAGGGCGGGTGACGCGTGGCAACGCTCCACTGGCCCGCGTCCGCTTTAGTTTCCGAAGTGGAAACTCGGCCTCCGCACCCGCCCGCGTTGCCCAAGGCGGCCCGGCCTCAGCCGCGCTGCCCCTTCTAAGCGCCGTCCCCCCTTGGATCCCTCCGCTCCCTCTGCTCGGCAGACCGACGTTTCTTGTCCGCTTTCGTCGACTCCGGGCGCTTGCCACACACACCCCTCCCCCTACCCACCCGCCCACGCTCCGACTCGTTGCGGCAACGGCAAACACCATCCACCCGCATCCGTGGGTGGCATCACCAGAAAACACTACTACCCACCACGGCCACTTTTCCGGAATCGCAGTCATTGCGACGGCGCCAATAAGTACAAACATGGCGCCGCCGTTAGCACAGCGAACGCGGTGGTTCTGCTGGCGCGGGGCCCTCGTGAAGATTGACACTCAGCGAGAGCCAGCTTGGCGCGAGGCGCGGTCGACGGCGGACGGCTCCCTGTCCGCCTCTGTGGGATAGGAAGATTAGATCACATACGGCATCCCATTGGCGCGCCTCCAGAACCGCGCTCGATCACCGGGGGAACCGCCCCAGCGCATTGACGCCCAACGTGCGGTCAACTTTTCTATACATCTCGCGGTCGGCATCCCGCCCGCCAGCAACTTGATCAGCTGCGGCATCCCTGTCCAACGGCGACAGCCTCCAAGGCCTCCGTGTCTCCTCTCCGCGGAGAACGCAACATCAGTGGGACGCGTCCGAGATCAGAGGGAAATAACTGCAGAGCGTGACGGCGGCGCTGTCGCACGCCGCAGATCGCCATCCTCTGAATCCCGCTCCTCCCTCCTCGCCGTCTCTCTGGGCGCGAGAGCCCCGCCCCTTCTGTCGAGGCCATATTTGCACACGGCATTCCCCTAGTTGTACTGCGTTGTATTGTTGCATGCATACAGCAAATGCAACAAGGTCCATGCACCTTGTTGTAATTAGCATTGTTGTTGTGTTGTTGCATGTACCTGAGTGTATTACCCAAGTCGCCTTATTTGCCTTGTTCGCCTTATTTACCTTGCTTACCTTCTTTTACTTTGTTTACCTTGCTGACCTTTGTTATCATATATAAGGGTTTTTACCTCTCCCTCGCTGCGCACAGGGCCCTTCTCCGATGGCGCCACACCCCCGTACCTCACCGGCGAGTTCCCCGGCGACTACGGCTGGGACTCCGCCGGCCTGTCCGCCGACCCCCAGACCTTCGCCTCCTACCGCGAGGCGGAGCTCATCCACGCCCGCTGGGCCATGCTGGGCACCCTGGGCTGCCTGACCCCGGAGCTGCTGTCCAAGTACGGCGGCGTGGAGTTCGGCGAGGCCACGTGGTTCAAGGCCGGTGCGCAGATCTTCAGCGAGGGCGGCCTGGACTACCTGGGCAACGACACCCTCATCCACGCGCAGTCCGCCATCGCCGTGCTGCTGTGCCAGGTGCGCTGCAGCTCTCATGCTTTCCCTGTGGTGGCTTCGATGTGAACGTGCGCCACGATCAGTGCATCGCGTTTGCGTTGTGGCTTCTCTTTTTTCCCAAATGTCACACCAGATTTCAGTGTCCCCGTCGTATCATAAGATGTGTGAGCCCTGGGCATCGCGTCTGTTTGCCTGGTTGCTTGTGTTGTTGCTCGCACGGATGCATCGACATGACGTCATGGCACCGATCAACGCAGCGTAAGAAACAGCGCGTCAGCGTATCATGGTCTCACTGCCCATGAGCATATTGTCACAGTCTCCTCTATGTCACAGTGTCAATGCATGTGCAATGTGTGTCATGCGCTGAGTGGGACGACTGAATACCGTACATTCATCTGGTAGCCGATTGGTGCCGCAGCCATTGCGAATTAAGTGGTCGTCCTGGCAGTTCGAGCTCGCCTAGGAAAGCCAAATCTAAACTACTGTGTGTGCTGAGCCCAAGAAAGGGCAACCGCCCCAGTGCTCCCGGGATCGCCTACACCTATTCCGCCTCCCCATCAGAACCATGTCCTTTAAGCACGGCCCTGCAAATGCGATGGGTTCTCCGATTCTTGCTGTGGTGGCCTATTCTGCGCAGCAAATAAGTCCCGCATTTGGCGCCTACACCTATTCCGCCTCCCCATCAGAACCATGTCCTTTAAGCACGGCCCTGCAAATGCGATGGGTTCTCCGATTCTTGCTGTGGTGGCCTATTCTGCGCAGCAAATAAGTCCCGCATTTGGCGCCTAAACTGCTGCACTTGCAGTACTAGTACTGCGAGTGCTATTAGTTCTACGGTGCTGCAGTGCGAACTTTTGGTAATCAAATAGCTTCAGCGTTCTGCAGGCCACAACCAACTCTGCCCCTGAATGCAAGGTCTGTGCAAGACCCCCTGCTCCTTGTGGCGTTTGGCCTCGCACCACCCTGGTGGAGAGTGCCAAGAAGCACCGCGACATAGCCAGATTTCAGGCCAAATCCCGGTCCTCTCCTGTCCAGGCCTTGATATGCGCAGATGCAATTGTAAACACACTGCCCAAATGATTAACAGTAGAGAATAGACAAATAAAATCTTATTAACGCTTACTAAGCAGGAAACGCAACTTCGCGATGACAACTGCGATGTCATTTGGCACTGTGTGGGGCCACCACAGTGATTGCGATGCCATAAACGTAGCTACGATGTCATCAATTAATGGCGAATATCATCGCAGTGCATCGCAAAACCGGTGCGTTCTACTGCTGCATTCACTTCTAATTATGCATCTAAGTGGTGCTAATGCTTCTTGTAATGCCTTTACCCTGGAATTCTACTAATCTTCCAATGCGGCTAGTCAGTTTATATCGTCTAATTGCCTGCCGTGTCTCTCAGATTGTCCTGATGGGTGGCGCCGAGGCCTACCGCGTGAACGGCGGCCCCCTGGGGGAGGGCCTGGACGCCCTGTACCCCGGAGAGACCTTCGACCCCCTGGGCCTGGCCGACGACCCCGAGACCTTCGCGGAGCTCAAGGTGAAGGAGATCAAGAACGGGAGGCTGGCCATGTTCTCCATGTTCGGCTACTACGTGCAGGCCATCGCCACCGGCAAGGGCCCAGTGGAGAACTGGGCGGAGCACATCGCCGACCCGTTCGGCGTCAATGGCTTCAACATCTCCACCAAGTTCACACCACAGTAATCTGCAACAAATTGCAGCGGAGTGCAGTGGACTGCAGCGAGCGGCAATGAACTGCAGCCAACTCCGAAACGGGGTGGTCGTTGGCGCTTGTGGTCGGGTGTAGCCGAGGCCGAGAGGAAAAAACACAAGTTTGTAAATTCGTCGAGAGGAGCCCGCTTGCCGGCATGGAGTGGTGCTGCGACATGTAAAGAGACAACTAAAGAAGCGCTTAGTGTAACTCGCGCGTGAGAGTGAAGTCTAAAGTTCATGCATGAACGTGCTTCATCTTTGTGGCCCTTTGCGACTTCCTCGCAGGCGATGTAGCTTATAGTATTCCAGCGAGGCTATTTAGCAAAAGCACTTCCAAGAATGAGATCCGCGTTTGGCGAATTGTTCAAAGGTCTTCTTGACGCTGTTGTGCAAGTGCGCCACCGGGGCACATTAGCGCGTGTAATGTATCGGGTACACGAGTTGTGCACGAGACAGACAATTAGACAATTAGACAGTTGCCGCTGCATGCCCGTGTGTACAGCAAAGTTGGACACATCCTGAGCCTTTCCCTGTGGCCACGTCTGTGCACTAACCGACGCAGGCGCTGGAACCGCATACAAACAGCCAATTCTCTTTAATGAACATGACGCCTTGCGCTGCCGCGGCAGAAGAAGCTTCTCCGGCGTGCTTACCAACATAGGCTACGTGACATATGTCTCCAACATATCTTATATGCATGGGAGTCGTAATGAACATAGCAACGTCCATTGCCAGAACAGTTTCGATGCAAGCCAGATGGAGTTCGACCTACTTCGCACATTTCTGGTTACATATCTGCGATACACGAAACCACGAAAATTGTGCCAACGCAGCTGCCATTGAAGCAAAACGTCGTAGTATTGACGATTATCAGAGAAAACGCCCCCCCCAAATGTTCACTTAACTTCTGCACATCATTTGTCCACCTCGAGGCGAAATGCTATGCAGCCTGCGAGTGGGTGGCTCCCTGTACAAACCAAATTAATTCGTGCATCGCATCATGCTGAAGTTCACTAGCGTTGCTCCCAGTCACCCACCCCTCGGATAAGTTAAATTTGGGGATAAGTGATATGTGCTGAAGTGCAAGAAATTAGCTTTTCACTTGCAGACAAAGGACCAGTTGACATTTTTCGAGAACACATATGTATGCATTCCATCAGTGTTCTGCACGCTGAAAACACGAATAGAACACCAACTCGTGAGCTTTGCATACGTTTTACCACGTGCTATTTGTACTTCTCCTAGTACATTCGAATCGCGGAAAATAGTGCAAATTAAGGCGACGGCATGGGCTTTCTTTTGCAATGGATGGAGGCGGACACTTGAGGGGGCAATGTGCAAGCCGGTTTGGAAGAAGAGTCCCCAATCCAGAAATTGCCTTCCAGAACACGTGGTCAAAATTGGGTAAGAGTTCCAATGGAAGCTCGGTCGCCAACGACGGGGCTTTGCTCCGCCAGCTCCAATTTTCACGCCACATCGAGGGCGGCCTAACGGTTCAATATTTGAGCCCAACGGTTTTGAACGCGGCGGGTCCAGACCCGCTCACATGCGGCGCAAGTTTCTGCCGGGGCCACAAGGTGCTAATCTATGCAGGATGCACCAATTGGCATACGAGGGACCAGTACTTTCGCGGACGGCACATGATTTCACCCGTTACCCGCCGAAGGAACAAGTTGGGAGATGCACCAGATGTCCCAAAGCACCCCTTCAAGTGTCTCGTTTACCTGCTTTATACCGTGTGGATATGGGTCCAGTGAATATGAGGCCGGTGGATATATTGGAACGTTGTCCCACATTTGCACGGTTTATATATATACATTACCGTGCATGTGACACAGTTTCAATTGCGTACCCTCGGGAGCCGTGTCGTACACGGGTAGTACGCGGTAATGTGCACATTAACAGTGTCAATATGGGGCCACATTTGTCCATATGGCACGGTCATGTTTGAGCAGACCGTGTCATCTTGCTAGTGATGTGGATGGACCGCGGCCGCCTGAATCCGTCTTGCTCACTAATTACGTGACCTGCAATGTCAGTGGCTAACAGACCCCCGGTTGCTAGCATCAGCTGGTATGGCTCGGACCGAGAATTTGGACGTGATAGCTCTGTCAACAGGGTGCCCCCCCTGTTGGAATGATGAGTAGCAAATGGGATGCGGAAACTTCACACAACTTCTTACTTTCGCTTCACGAAACTTCCTGCGGTCGCTTGTCTTCATCGGATGAATGTCTGTGATTACCCTTGGCCATGGACTTGGTCTAATGCAATGCATGGCCCACACACTGGTAAAGGAAAATGCCGCCAAAACACGGCTTTTATCGCGATTTGTTGAGGAACACATTTTACCGCAATTTGAACACCGTTAGGTTTTGTGTGAAATGGACAATATTTTGCCATCGGCCATTTGTACACGCACAAAAGCGTTTGTGCAAACAGGTACGTGTTGTATTGTTGCTTTGCTACTGTGACGATATCAGACGGCAAAGAAGTGACTGACGGCAAATCAGTTTTTAATTTCGTCATCGCCATTTCTAGCGATCATCATCGCAACTTATAAGTTGCCATTAATTATTGGCGAATCAGTTCGTTGACAGCGGTTGCTTTTCCCCGCTTCTGGTTCCCACATGCATGCGCATGTCAGGTGAGAGAGCATCTGGAGCGTGGCCGAGTGGCCGCCAGTCCTGTTCTTCGTGGAAGCGCGAGCATAATTCAAGAGCAAAAATCGACCAAAGCACGCGGTCCTGAAAATCGCGTTATGCGTGCACAAATCATGTACCAATCGTTTACTGATCACAAAGTGCACGGCTACCGCTGGTAGACGGTTGGAAATCGTGTAAAACCGTGTTCTTTATCGTTTTGCCCATGGTGGTAATGTGGTCCGCTTTCGTGTACTACACAAGGCTTAAAGCCACACGATTTCAGCAATCGTGAAAAATAGTTCTCCAAAATACCCAATTTTTGCGGATATTACCGCAACGTCACACGGGTGTACACCGTGTACAGTGGTCGAAGTTTTTTACCTGCACTTATCTGTACACAGGTATTATGGCCACGCGCGTGATTATTTTGACGCCAAGAATGCATGATGTGTTGAGTAATCGTGGCCACGGGCGACCTGTTTAGTTAACATGGTAGCCACTCACGATCGCGTGTGCATTCCACACATGGTCCTGCTGGAAATCACTGGAGTGGCAGCAGCAATCCCGCGAAAGAACCCTTCGCCAGAGCGAGGGAATTTCTGTTCAGTTCAGAACCCAGACCATGCTAGGCATGGCCGTGCCTACGATTTTACAAGTGGCCTAGTTTGCTGGTTGTCACTCGTAAAAAATCGGCCATTTTGCATGGTGTACGATCGCGTGAAATCGCGTTAAAATCGTGTAGAAATCGGGTACTTCGGAGCAGGATTTTACACGATTGCTAAAATCGCGTACTTTTAATCCCTGTGCTCACGTAAGTGGCCCAGCTTGCCACCATGAACAACACGATAAAGAACACGGTTTTACACGATTTCAACCGTGTACCAGCGGCAGCCGTTTATTTTGCGATGAGTACACGATGGGTACAGGGGCAAGCACACGCTCCCTCTCCTTTGACAACCAGAGGTGGGCCGTGGGAGGTGAAGCTGGGACTGGGACCGGTACCGGGCCCGGTCTTTGTCTGGTCCCGGTCCGGGCCCGGTCCGGGTTCGGTCCTGGTCCGGTCCCGGTCCTGGTCTAGTCCGGTCCAGCCAGTCCAACCGGGTCCTTGCCCGGTCCTAGAATTTTTTCTGGCCTGGCTTTGGAACGGGCTAACACCGGGCGCTGAACGGGATTGGGCCGGGCCAGGGCCGAGTCAGGACAGTGTGAGGACCTGGTTGAGGGCTGGACAGGGCCGGATTCCGGTCCTACCCGGCCCAGTCCGGTCCAAACCGGTCACACCCTGGCTGACTCGGCCAGCCTCCCGCCAGCTGTCCCATCCCTCCCGGTAGCTCCCACGATAGATCCCGTGGGTCAAGAACGGGCCATCATGCTCAGGGCCTGGGTTAGGCTCAATTCTGCCCATGAGTAACGATTGCTTCGTTATGATGCGGTCGTCGTGGGCAATCTCTTGCGCAACTGAATTACGGTGTACTTACGACGGCGACGTTTACACGAATTCACACCACTTTTACACGCATGACACGGTACACGGTTTTCAGAACCGTGTACTTTGGACAACTTTTTATCTGTGCATTTTCCCCTTCACTACGCAATAATATGAAATACACAACCCAACAGCAGTGCTGTGTCAATATTTTGATTGTATGAAATTACAATAATATAAGATGAGGTCAATTTTCCGTCCCTGCCATTGCATTTACTGCTGCCCCCTTCCAATTTTTTGCAAAGGAGCAGCACTGCGCTCAAGGTTGCCTGCCAACTCGCAAATGATTTATATTCACATGCATTCTTGGCTTCTTCCAGGTGATCGGATTTTCATTCTTGGAATTTTTACGTATAAATATAGGATCGGGGCGATGCACCCTGTTTTAATGGCTGCTTGGTGAGGCAGCTCCCAGAACAGTACACAAGTTCCCCAATTCGCGCTTTAGGAACCTCAGGCGATTCCACTCAAGAGGAGGCAAACTGTGCGTTGTATGGCAACATCACTACGCCTGTACATGCGCACAAATATGGACGTCCACGCACATACGCACCTTTGTGCTTACAGCACATCGACCTAAAATATTTTACCGAGAAACAAATAGAAGTCCTATTGCGTTGTAGATCAGGCCAAATGCACCATTCCATGAGAGCTTTTGCATGAAATTCATCAACACATTTCAGCATGGATCACACAGCAGCACAAGTCAAGCACTTCATCTAAAACACCACGGCATCTTTCTGGCACCGTCATTTGATCACTACGAGGTAAGATGGCCACTTGGTTCGAGCACATTAAAATTATATTTTGCCTTCACCCCATTTGTTGCTAGTTGAATTAGGATCAGCTCTTAACAAGGGTCCACG